ATAATGCCACTAACTTAACATATTGCTTGTTCAGGCATTTAATCCGCTGTAGCATCCGTAATCCTGGCTGGCCTACAATACTCAAGATCTTTGTCACATCATACCAGACTACCCATTCACCTTTTACACATCTCCCATAAAACACCTTGCTTGCCCCCAAGAAGTTTGCAAGACCTTTGTTTTTAATTTTTCGTGTGTAATTATTACAGTCACCTCAAGAAAAAAGTAAAGATATTGGTTATACAAAATTATGAGGGGGCAAACAAGGTGTATTATCGGAAACATGAACATGGCGAATGGAAAGCATCTGTAGCTTGGGATATTTTTAATCGAGTACAAGCAATTGGGTCTCGTATTAACCATCTTTGCCTCTGCATCAATGCTCATGCGTAGCTCGAGATGGATACGTCACCGAAATGAATTGACCGTGAAGCCCTGAGGTAAAGTCCCTAAAACATGAAAAAATGCCTTAATCGACCACTACAGAAAATGCCAGAACATACCATAATACTCTTTGTTAGTCACTCCAAAATTTTGCATAAGCATTGTTTTCAGTTCCTCTTGGGAGTTAAAATGGCCCCAATAGTAACTGAAAACAATGCTTATGCATGGTATTTATGCATTATATATAGTATTTTCTGTAGTGATCAATACTCCTCGTTTCCCTAAACATTGTTTTCAATTTCTCTCGGGACGACGATTGTACGTCCCACTTTTAGGAGTTAGGAGTTCCTGTTTCTGTTATTTGTTCAAATATTGCTTACAAGGATATCGAGCCATCATATTCATGTGAAATCCTACGAGAGTTGATACCCAGGGTTGTCAAAAGATTTCCAGTTGCCAGGGAAATACATCAAGTAGGCGGGGAATTAAACAGCTAGAGATTTCTTTTTTTCTATTTTTCTTCTATTTTTCTATGAAAGTTGTCAGGGGCCACGTTCATAGTAGCCGGGGGAAATCCACGGTCCCCGCCTCTTAATGACAGCCCTGGTTGATATTCGTTTGATATACCCCTGTCCAAAACTAGCAGGTACTTCCGACTGAATGATATTAAATACCTAGAAAGTAAAAGCAGCCTGTCTCGAGAAGCAAATATACCTGATTTAAGATGAATTGGAAATTGTTCGGAACAGACGAGTGTTATGCTTTGTCCTCGAGTAACCGCCCACTTGAACAGAAATGGAGTCACGTTTAGGCTCGTGTAACATCATCTTTATTGAGACGATTTGTCCGAAAATTTGGGCAAAACAACAGTCTAAGAAAAAGTACACGTTTCTTCCAGGATTCTAACCCAGGCCACATTTGTGTGAGGCGAGTGTTCTCTATCGCACCCTGTTTCCCCGGTTTCTTTAAACTGTGGTAAGTTCACTTTCTAAACTACCTGTTTGAGTAATGATGGATCAAATCTGATCTTTAATCTTATTCGAAAATCGCATACAATTCTCTTCCACGCCCCAGAAGCTGCCCAAATCCCAATACACCTTGTTTGGTAAAGACTGATTGTGTAACATTTCACACAATCTGCACCAAGGTGTGGTCGAGAGAACCTCGTATTGTTTCTTCCAGTAAAAATATTCGTTGTATGCGGTGCTGTTTGCATCCAACGTTTTCAAATAAGATGCTAGGCTCTCAACCGAGGAAAAATCCAGTACATTAATGTATGATTTTGGAACGACTAGTTCATCATAATCCGCTCCTCCCATAACAACGGGAATCATGTCATGTTCTAGAGCTTGCTCCCAATACTTTTCTGTGATGTAATCCTCGCAGAAAGCGTTTTCAAATGCCAAGTAAAACTTGTACTTCTTCAATAGAGCGTTACACATGTTGCTTCCACGAGGGCAGCGAGGTCCTCTGGGATTGCAGTTACCAAGTACGTCAACTGGAATGTAGAGTTGAAGCTTTTCCACGTACTGTTCTCGGAGAAAACCCGTCGACGAAAAATGACTGGAGGCCCAGGCCGCCAGTCTGGTCTTTTTAGCTGCAAAGTCTCTGTCTGTTAATAAAAATAAGTAAATTTTTAAATATTTAAAAATACCGTCAAAAATTGCACAGGCAGCCCAACGGTAGTGCCAGAGGCTGTAGAATGAATTTATTATATACAGGGAACCTCGTTATAACGAAGGGCCAATGGACTGGCAACATTTGTTCGCTATAACGAGGTATTGTCATATCAAGGTTCTATCACTGGAGTAAAGAAAATCATTCGTTATACCGAGGACTTCGTTATATCGGGGTTCGTTAATCGAGATTTCACTGTAATAAGAAAAGTAGATTTCGAATTGTTTTGAAATAAAAAATAATATATTATCTTCAGCTTCCGTTTCTTTGAGCTGACTTTGAAAAGACATGATATTTATCAAATAGTTAAAGCAATGATTTAGAGCGCAGTGATGACTATAATGAAAATCAAAAAGCATCACCGATACCTCAAGGGCAATCTACACTATACGGATGTGGTGTTCAAACACACACACGCACGCCGTCCGCTTGATTGTTTTTTCCAAGAGTTTCCGAATCGGCGTAATCTTAAATAAGGAGGCCCTAAAGAGGAGGTCAGTAGAGGTGTCGCTAAGTGTTTGCTCCTTTTTGCACGTACATTCTGATCTTAGGCGAAAAAAGGTTTTCTTGTCTAGAGCAGATGAAACGGGGAATCAGTCTTTTTTAGACTGGTTTGCCTAAAACTATCCGCTGTATAATATACATGGTTGTCCGCGAAAATAAATCGACCTCGAGTCTCTCCCAGACTGCCTATCCTTATTATTACCGATTTTCGTGGTCACTTATAATTAAAATTATAATCTTGCGAAAATGAAAGAGGCATATTTCGAGAGACTTATGGAAGAAAAGGACAAAGGCATCGGCCTTTTTCTAAAATACCATAATACTCTTTGTTTTCCTTCCAAAAGTTTGCAATCATCCCAAAGGAAATTGAAACAATACTTATGCAAACTTTTGAAGGGAAGACAAAGAGTAGTACGGTATTTTTGAAAAAGGCCTATTGAATTAAAGACTTGCTTCTCGTTTTTTGGCAAAAGCTTAACGGAGAAAATTATTTCCAACAACGAAAGGTATATCAATGGGGACGGCTCAAGCAAAAGCGTTTTTTGAGTGACGCAAATCGGCCGGAAGTAAGGTTTTTTAATTACATGCCATGACACTTTAAATTTCTATCGCTAAATTTTCAGACGATTTATCCAAAAATTTGGGCAAAACCACTGCCCAATAATGAAAAAAGTCCACTTACTATCGATGTGCGTGGCATCGTAAACAAAACCTCTTTGCTTAAGCTCTCTAATATTTTGGCTACACCTGCTACCAATAAGAAAACGAAAAGAAAATAACCTGCCCCTGAAGAAAAATAACTCCTACGCAAGTCGTTATTTTCAACTGTTCTGTAGGTGCCGTAAGGAGCCCACACATCTGATGAGCGCTTGTACGTCATTGTCCAATTAAACATTCCGTTATACTTTAGGGGTTCTGGTGAGGTGTAATGTGGATTTTCTTGTATGAAATAAACCCATCGCTGATTGGTAGTTCGCCGCGTAGGCATTGTTTCTGGCATATCTCTTCCATGAAAAATCACAGCGTCACTCTGAAGTAATGAGCTTTTGTCGTCAGAAATACGACAGGGAACTTCGCAGGTGTCAAGAGAGGTTGTCGGCCATATTGTCGATGGTTTTGCTCCAAAGACTGTGGTGTAAAATAAAATTACTTTTCGCTTTTGGGAAGTATCTGCTAGCTTTAAAATCCCACTCAATAATGGAATGATAACTGTTAAAATGTAGAAAGTGGCAAATGATACTGTGAGCATAAGCACAGTATTTATGACGATCTTCATTCGTCGAACCGCAATCATTTTCCAGAAGCAAAATTAGGAGATCCTTATTGCAGACTCTGATAAAAATTCGAATCAACAAGAATTAAAGATGAATTTCTCACACTAAACCTCTCCGTCGAATTCTCGTCCACCTCAGTCTTTTCTGTGATAAAAGAAGAATGCTTGAAAACGGTTTTGAAAAAGAAAACAGTTCATTCTTTACGTTTACGGTTTCTTGTTGATTTTTTTGGAGGGGCAGGTACCATCAATGTTTTTAATTTTCTGGTTTCATCTCGAGACTGTAAACTACGAAGGAAAAAGCAAATAATTTCGGTTATTTTTTTTTTAAGATTCTTAGTACTAAAGACAGATCGAGTGATCCTTAATGACTGTGATTACTTTGATTGCACTAATGGTAGTTGAAAAAAGGATTAGCTCGGAATTTTGGGAAGTAAAGCAGGAACGTTGGAACGGGCCGAAAAGAACTGATACCAGGCCTGTCCTCACTGGTTCCTAGGAGAACTTCGATGCCAACGCAGGCGTCTAGAGATTTAGAATCACGTCTACGGCTAACACCATTTTGAAACATGTTGCTAAGCTTTCTCTTTATTTCAAATTTAATGTTTATCGTTACTACTAAAAAATAAAGACATTCATGCCAGGTTTACCCGTAAGGACAATTCTCTCAGTAACTTAAGTAATCGTAATACTTGAACCTGATGTTTCGACTTTGCCGTCGCAACGTAACTCAACGATTCCGAAATTTATGGATTTTAGTGGTCGTTGAGAGGAAAATCGAGAGATTTAGAGTCGCGTTTAGGGCAAACGGCAAACATTAGACCCAAGGTGACATTTCCTTGAATCAGGAAATAAACAGGTACAAACCTTGAAAATAATTGTTGTGGATTAAACTGATCGACATGAAACTACTAACTGTTTTTCTGTAGATACAACAAGTAGAACAAATGCAACAAGTGAATCGGCTTGTGACCAAAAATGAGCAAGAGTGGCACAGTGGCACTAGCGTCCCTTCCCTTCTGGGGGGTGGGGGGTACTCCCTATAGTATCATTTATGGGAAGGCCCCGACCGAAAGGGGTACCTTTTTCATGCTTCAGGTATATGAAAGGTTAGGTTTGTTGTTGCTTCTCTGCCTTACCGAGAGGTTTTTCTCTTGGTGCTACGGTTTTCCCCTATCTCCAAAACCCAACCTTTCCAAATTTCAATTCGATCCGAAACACATGGACTCGTTTAAGCGAGTTCACAACAACTTCTTTTATTTGTTTATTCTTTAAGACTGGTCACGCCCTGGTCACGTAAAAATTGAATGTGACGTGAATGTGATTCTAAATCACTCTGATATTGTAGGAAATATTTTTTGTTAAAGAGCAAATAGATAATTAAGGATAAACACTGGAGGTCTTAACAACGAAAGGCTCAAAAAAGTTTCGTCCTTGAATTTGCTATCTCCAATACGCTTTATCGTTAAAAACCTGGTGACATTACACATTTAGCAATTAATGAATGAGGCTGAAAGCCGAATTCATTAATTGCTTTATTATTCATTCAACATAATTCGTAGTTTAAAAACATAGCCAAAACAAGCTTACCTGCATCGATGTTAAGTTTATCTTCGATAGTGTACGCTTAGGTTTGTTCAGCTCCGCAAATATTCTCCAAATAGCAGATGTCGCCCTCCGAGTTGTTTTCTTGCTGTTTTTGCTGTTTTTAGCCATTATTTCGCCTAGTTCCAGCTGTAGTTCTTACTCTTGAAACGAGTAAAGCGTCCGCCTTTTTAGTTTTCACAACGGAAACAACTCAATCTCGTCCCCAGGTCTCCTCAGTTAACGGTGCATTAACCTGTAGAAGGCTGCATTTATGACGTCATTTCCTCGTTAAACACAAAATTCTTCCAAATTTGGTCATCAGTAACTGGTTATGGTGAATTATGCGTGTGCTTTTAGCCAATCAGAATTGGGGAAATATTTTGAATGAATAATAAATACACATTATAATAAAACCTCTGCTCCATGTGCGACCTAGTAAATTAGAAATTAGTTTTCCTACTCAAAGCACTACTGAAAACTAGACCACCAAATCTTTGCATTTTAGTTGGATACTTAAAGCAAGTACTACTCTTCTATACTAAGATACTAGGCTATGCTCAGGCATGAACATTATACAATGAACCTTTAGTTTACAACTGTGATGGCTAGTTTGGAGTTTGGACAAGTTATTTTCACTAGGCTTTTAGTTGACTTAATTTAGTCGTCAAACCTTATTTCATAATGCAAGGTTGCAAAACTACTACTTCTATGTTCACAAAACGATTGGCTCTAAAATATATACAATTCTACTAAACTATAAACCTTGCAATGCTGTTTGCATTGTAATCAAACTTCAATTTGCGATTAAGAATCCCTTTTAAATGAAAAGTACTTTTTAGTTGTAGCCTTAATTAGGGACTAATTAAGGAAGTTAACAATTTACGTAAATAGATAGGAAAGTTATCTAATCCTGATGTTATTCGGGTAGCGATTACATGCAGTTCTATCATTGTCCGACACTTTTACAAGACGTTTTAGAGATTAGAGTACTCAGGGTGCGTACACAGACACACACAAACAAAAATTAAAAACAGCGAGAAAAATACTTAAGCCAGCAAAGATGAACAGCTGGCATGGATTAAGCAAGTCAGTTCTCTTTTAATTCTTCAAGTCTGGAATATGTTCGTATGCTGCAGAGATTAACTCTCTACATTTTCCGCTAGAGGCTACCTCATTGGAATTCTGCGGAAAGGCTGTTTCGTTATTCCCTGATGTGTCATTAGTGCAATACCTGCGACAGTAATGTATAAGAAACAAAAAAATTAGTACAACACATGTATTTATTTCAAAAGACTCCAGCTGGGGTAAGTGGCATTTAGGTTCATTCCACATGGAAGAGGGATCCTCCGGCTTTATCGTGACGGAAGAGGTCTACTTATTTAAGTTTACACAGCTAAAACTTTCCAGTTATTGGCATCATAAATGAAAAGCAGGGTACACAGCTAAAATAGGTTTGAACCTTTTTGCCTTAGTGACCTTTGGAATCTCGGTCGTCCCTCTTCGGTCCAAGTTAAGAACCAGTGTACTGCTGTACTTCAGTTAGTGTCCGCGAAAAGCCCTCTAGTTTCAGTCAAGACTCCATACACAGTCTACAATTTGTAGTTTTCAGTGTTTTCGATCAATTCCCAGATCTAGATCTCCGCCATAACATTTTCATTCCGATTATCTTTATATCTAACAAAAAACTACGTTCGCTGTTTGTTTTAGTTTCATATCTGGAATTCACATCCCATTATATTAAGAAAGAAAACAGTTTGTCAACAAACCCTCACGTTCATATTGAGCGGTAGCAAATAAAAGAATATTCAATTGTTTGTGCCTCATATATCAGGAAACAGAGAAAAGACTTTTAAAAAATCATTGTGTTACTGTAGGGATACGGGGCTTTGGTGTTTTTTCAGTTTTCAAATGCAAAGCCCCACATGCATGGGTTATAATTTTGACTGATAAAATACAGAAGTCTGGACGAATAATTGTGGTGGTTAGTATCTTTGATGTTAAAAAGCGGTTGACTGATATTTCACCTCAGTCGTAGTAAAAGCTGACTTCAGGTGTAGTCAATAGTGTGGCTTTTAAGGGTAAATAATGTTTTTTATTTAGTACTTAAAAGAACCAAATGTACCGAAGTTGATAGAACTGCAATACAAAAAGACCTGGCAGACTTCCTATGGCCCTAATTATCAGAGAGCAATTACCTTCACTTTTCTTCACCAAAGTGAAATGAAACGTCATCCCCAATCAGCATGAAAGGTGCCCACTGCCTCACTTCAGGGAAACCGTTATTCCGCATCCACTTCATGGCCCGGTGAAGACATTCACTTGCACTTTCTCCTTGGACAAGGTTTTCGTAGAATCTTCTCATGAACTGCTGTGTTGCTCTGTCTTCTAAGGCCCACAGTGCCACCAACACTGAGCGTGCACCTGATCCTAAGAATGCTCGAGCGATTCCAACAACGCCTTCTGTATTGATCTGCCCACGTGCGGAATGAGAACAGCTAAGGACCACCAGTTTGGCTGACAGTCTAACTTGTGAAATGTCGGTCATTGACAGTAAGTAGTCTGCTTCATGTGGAATCCCTATTGTGGAGTTAGAGGGGGTAAGAGCAATTTCTCCTCTTTCGGCATGACCATGAGCAGAGAAATGCACGAGACTCGCTGAGGGTATTCTTTGAAGAACTGCCTGCTTTGTTGCTTGCTCTCCTATTAAAAGGTGAGATTCAGGTAGTAGTCTTGCAATCATCTCTGCTTCCGCTTTCGCGATAGGCAATGGACAGAGATACCATAACTCTCCCTTGTAATACACATTCGTCACACTTGGCCCACCCACAATCAATGCACCAGTTTCGCTGTGTGAGTCCGCTGGACTGTCCAGAATGAGCCTAAGAGTCGTCANATGCAAAGCCCCACATGCATGGGTTATAATTTTGACTGATAAAATACAGAAGTCTGGACGAATAATTGTGGTGGTTAGTATCTTTGATGTTAAAAAGCGGTTGACTGATATTTCACCTCAGTCGTAGTAAAAGCTGACTTCAGGTGTAGTCAATAGTGTGGCTTTTAAGGGTAAATAATGTTTTTTATTTAGTACTTAAAAGAACCAAATGTACCGAAGTTGATAGAACTGCAATACAAAAAGACCTGGCAGACTTCCTATGGCCCTAATTATCAGAGAGCAATTACCTTCACTTTTCTTCACCAAAGTGAAATGAAACGTCATCCCCAATCAGCATGAAAGGTGCCCACTGCCTCACTTCAGGGAAACCGTTATTCCGCATCCACTTCATGGCCCGGTGAAGACATTCACTTGCACTTTCTCCTTGGACAAGGTTTTCGTAGAATCTTCTCATGAACTGCTGTGTTGCTCTGTCTTCTAAGGCCCACAGTGCCACCAACACTGAGCGTGCACCTGATCCTAAGAATGCTCGAGCGATTCCAACAACGCCTTCTGTATTGATCTGCCCACGTGCGGAATGAGAACAGCTAAGGACCACCAGTTTGGCTGACAGTCTAACTTGTGAAATGTCGGTCATTGACAGTAAGTAGTCTGCTTCATGTGGAATCCCTATTGTGGAGTTAGAGGGGGTAAGAGCAATTTCTCCTCTTTCGGCATGACCATGAGCAGAGAAATGCACGAGACTCGCTGAGGGTATTCTTTGAAGAACTGCCTGCTTTGTTGCTTGCTCTCCTATTAAAAGGTGAGATTCAGGTAGTAGTCTTGCAATCATCTCTGCTTCCGCTTTCGCGATAGGCAATGGACAGAGATACCATAACTCTCCCTTGTAATACACATTCGTCACACTTGGCCCACCCACAATCAATGCACCAGTTTCGCTGTGTGAGTCCGCTGGACTGTCCAGAATGAGCCTAAGAGTCGTCAAAGAAGGGACAATGCGTATCCTGAAAGAATCTGATAAATAGCGGTTACTTTCAGCATCATGTAACGCTGCAAAGGGAACTTGGAAGAAGCAGCGATCAGGAACAACAATGATTTCAGATCCTTCTAGCAAGTCACTTACGGGAGCAATCAACATGTTGTAAACCTGAAAAAGTGTTGGCGGTTCAGGGTCTGTGTTTTCTTCTTCCTCATCTAAAGAAAGACGCAAGGATGAGAGACTATCTTCCAGATTTGATTCGTTTGTAAGTTGGTTGGCGTGTGAAGAGAAGAGGTCATCCACAGAGATTTTGACGTCTTTGCTACCATAGCTTTCACAAAGTTTCGTTCTTCGGAAAGCTACCGGTTTGCTTTGTTTCAAAATCCACAAAAATATATCATCAGAGTGGTAGGCGATGTATAGGCAGGTGCTGTTGCCATTTTTCTCATTGATTACTTCCTGAATGCCAACAAACGATTGTGTGTTGATGGATAACTCTTTTTCAATGGAGTACCGATTTGACATAAGATCTGCTAGAGCTTTGGCACGTCCAAGTTCAGCAACGTGTAAAGCTTCATAGGGTTTCCCACAAGAACAACTCAATGAAGTAAACAACCGATAGGGATAGGCGTGGTTGTCAAAAAATGATATCTTGCGGCGATCTTTGTTTCCTAGACAACTAAGCATTTTTTCGCAAATTTGAATACTTGCGAAGAGATTGGATAAGGCTTCAGATGCGTTTCCTTTTAATGATAAAACACAAAAATGTAGAAAAATAAAAGCGTGATATTGCAAATCAATGTTTCCAATCCCCCTGCTAATTTGAAGAGCATTCTGGAAATATTTTTGAGCCTTCGCCCATTCACCAGTTAGGACGTTGGCTTTTCCTAGGTTTATGTAGCATGTCGCTTGGCCGTCTTTGTCGCCAGTTTCTGTCTTGATGTTAAGTGCTTTATGAAGATATTCTTCAGCCTTGGCATACTCTCCGACAGATTGAGAGACGGCTCCCAAGTTTATGTAGCATATCGCTTGTCCGTCTTTGTCGCCAGTTTCTGTCTTAATGGTAAGTGCTTTATGAAGATGTTCTTCAGCCTTGGCATATTCTCCGACAGATTGAAAGAGGGCTCCCAAGTTTATGTAGCATGTCGCTTGTCCGTCTTTGTCGCCAGTTTCTGTCTTAATGGTAAGTGCTTTATGAAGATGTTCTTCAGCCTTGGCATGTTCTCCGACAGATTGAGAGACGGCTGCCAAGTTTATGTAGCATGTCGCTTGTCCGTCTTTGTCGCCAGTTTCTGTCTTGATGGTAAGTGCTTTATGAAGATGTTCTTCAGCCTTGGCATATTCTCCGACAGATTGAAAGACGGCTCCCAAGTTTATGTAGCATGTCGCTTGTCCGTCTTTGTCGCCAGTTTCTGTCTTAATGGTAAGTGCTTTATGAAGATGTTCTTCAGCCTTGGCATGTTCTCCGACAGATTGAGAGACGGCTGCCAAGTTTATGTAGCATGTCGCTTGTCCGTCTTTGTCGCCAGTTTCTGTCTTGATGGTAAGTGCTTTATGAAGATGTTCTTCAGCCTTGGCATATTCTCCGACAGATTGAGAGACGGCTGCCAAGTTTATGTAGCATGTCGCTTGTCCGTCTTTGTCGCCAGTTTCTGTCTTGATGGTAAGTGCTTTATGAAGATGTTCTTCAGCCTTGGCATATTCTCCGACAGATTGAGAGACGGCTCCCAAGTTTATGTAGCATGTCGCTTGTCCGTCTTTGTCGCCAGTTTCTGTCTTGATGGTAAGTGCTTTATGAAGATGTTCTTCAGCCTTGGCATATTCTCCGACAGATTGAAAGACGGCTCCCAAGTTTATGTAGCATGTCGCTTGTCCGTCTTTGTCGCCAGTTTCTGTCTTGATGGTAAGTGCTTTATGAAGATGTTCTTCAGCCTTGGCATATTCTCCGACAGATTGAAAGACGGCTCCCAAGTTTATGTAGCATGTCGCTTGTCCGTCTTTGTCGCCAGTTTCTGTCTTGATGGTAAGTGCTTTATGAAGATGTTCTTCAGCCTTGGCATATTCTCCGACAGATTGAAAGACGGCTGCCAAGTTTATGTAGCATGTCGCTTGTCCGTCTTTGTCGCCAGTTTCTGTCTTGATGGTAAGTGCTTTATGAAGATATTCTTCAGCCTTGGCATATTCTCCGACAGATTGAAAGACAGCTCCCAAGTTTATGTAGCATGTCGCTTGTCCGTCTTTGTCGCCAGTTTCTGTCTTGATGGTAAGTGCTTTATGAAGATATTCTTCAGCTTTGGCATATTCTCCGACAGATTGAAAGACAGCTCCCAAGTTTATGTAGCATGTCGCTTGTCCGTCTTTGTCGCCAGTTTCTGTCTTGATGGTAAGTGCTTTATGAAGATATTCTTCAGCCTTAGCATATTTTCCGACAGATTGAAACACCCTTCCTAGGTTTCCGTAGCATGAAGCTTCTCCGTCTTTGTCGCCAATATCTGCCCTGATGGTAAGTGCTTTATGAAGACATTCTTCAGCCTTGGCATATTCTCCGACAGATTGAAAGACAGCTCCTAGGGTTCCGTAGCATGTCGCTTCTCCATGTCTGTCACCAATTTCTGTCGTGATGGTAAGTGCTTTACGAAGATATTTTTCAGCCTTGTCATATTCTCCGACGGATTGAGAGACGGCTCCCAGGTTTAAGTAACATAACGCTTCTCCGTGTTTGTTGCCAATTTCTATCTTGATGGTAAGTGCTTTATGAAGATATTCTTCAGCCTCGGCATATTCTCGAACAGATTGAAAGACAGCTCCCAGGTTTATGTAGCATGACGCTTCTCCGTCTTTGTCACCAATTTCTGTCTTGATGGTAAGTGCTCTTTTGAGGAATGCTTCTGCTTCCTTGTATTCCCGCTTTCGGTAGTACAATGTTGCTAGCATTAAGGCTGTCTCACCTTCTTCTTTTTTTCTCTTACAATTACGAAGTAGGACTAAAAGTTTTTCGCCAGATTCTATCGCTAGTGAAAGATTCGTAATAGCAGCATACCCATAAAACACCCTTTCGTAGAGCGCTATACTAACTTTTCTGACAAGGTCATTTTCTTTCTCTAAATCTTTGTTGTTTACGAGTATTAAACACTCGCTCCACAGCATGACAGCCTGGACAACTCGTTTAGTGTTCCAAAGGAAATCTGCCGCAATCATGCCGGGGAAAATCTCTTTTGGAACTTTGTCCATGAGGGTCTTCTCTGAAAGATAGGTAAAAAAAGACTAGAAACATTACCAAATTGTTTTTAAGAAGTAGAGTTATAAACACTATGACTTTAAAATGAAAGAAGCGAGTCACAAACGTTATAATCGATATCCCATAGGTTTTAGTAATGGCTTGGAAAAAAGTAATTTTCCCTCAAAATAAATATTTTTTTCTATTACATTGACAAATCTGTGATTGGGTCAGGTATATTTTTATTTAGAAGTGTAAAGATAAGCTGACGCTATCTTAGCTGTGATTCCATGACCCATTCTGTTCTTTGTTACATAGACTTACCCAGGAAAACACATTTACGAAAGATTTAGTTGACCTGGGTTGGCAAAATTAAGCTGGATTGGCACTTAAATCAGTAGAGTTTCCATGTATCAAAATGATATTTGAATGTTTAAAACTACGTATGTATGTCTATAGTTCGTGAAGGTACGGTGGCCCACAAGGGTCACATGCATTTTCTCATCGCAACTTACTAACTTGCGATCGCACATAACTTACTTGCAAGCTCACGTTACTTCACGAACAATGGCCAGATGGCACACATGCGCAGTACAGGAGCACCTGGAAGAAAATGGCAGAGTCAGTGGAAGATGACACGAGAGAGGCGAGTGTGGAGGAGGTATGTTTCCTTGATGTCCTGTTCTGTACTATTTCTGATTGATGAACAAAAGATCGTTCTCTGGAATGCACATTTCTAACATCGGAGCAACGATATGTAGAACAGTCGATTTCAGCCTCCGGTGGTGACCGGAGTGAATTGTATTACTCTGCTTTTCGAAGAATATTTTCTATTCAATGAGATGTTTGATACTGATCGGCGTGGATATCAATTCAACAGGCTTGTGTGAAACGTAAACAAGGATGTTTAGCTCCTCCGTTTCCTTTGCCTTTTTAGATTTTTTAAGCACTCTTTGATTTACCATACTCCTATTGTTTATCTTCATAAATTTACACATTGAACAATTATTCTTTGAAATCGAGGTGAATAGTGACTGTATATATACCGAGCCGCGAAAGCGGCGAGGTAAATATTCCTAAAGCCACTATTCACCGAGATTGAAAAGAATAATTGTTTTAGTATATACACGCGATGTGATCTCAACAAAATCAGAGAGGAAACCATTAAAGAGTACGATTTGATTGACAGATCAAATCACGGGAAAGTTTAGAATTTTCAAACATGGCAATTCACAAGCTTATCACAGCGTAATGGCTTTAATGGGACTGTTTAAAGTTTGAATTGTTTCCTTACCTGAGAAGAAAAGAAGAGCTTTGTTGTTTTATGTTGACTCGCCAAGTTTATTGCCGAAAGGTTTGTTGTGTCGTTCTTCGCATGAAGTGCTGAAAAAATGGCAGCTCGGTTCCTCAAGGTAAGACGTCGTCTTCATGTAGCATTCTTTGTCCTATTTACTTGAAACGTAGAATTTCTGCAAACATTTGCTTTCAAATTTGTTTGTCATAAATAAACTTCGATTTTTGGGCCAAATGTTTCTTGTTAGGAAACGCTGAGTTCACGAAACGGCCTCTTCTACGCGAATAAACAGGAGTTGTAAACAATCCATCGACCACAAAACTCAGTTACAGTAAAAGGAGAAACACTGTTTTGAATCCTTCGAAGTCTTTTCTTGCTTTTAGGATTTTGTCGACTTTTAAAAGATCGTTCTCTAAAAGAATGGGAAAAAAACCTAGCTCACACATTGTCCACTCGCTAGGAGGTGAATATTGTTGAATAGTCCGAGATAGCGCACCAATCAGATTGCTTAAATCACCAAGATCACTGAATGTGTATATACTAATAGAACTTTGACGGGGGACGTAACTGTAACGAGGATATTTAGCCAAAGTGTTGGTTTGACAAGCTATTACTGTTGTGCAGCATAAGAGGGCATGGCAGTGAAGGATCCCCCATATCCCAGTGTAGGGGGATTGCTATTAGGTACAGAAGGTGTCCCTGTGCCAAAATTCCTAGTGTTATGTGCATTAAAGTCAAAGCCAAATATGACTGCATCAAAACATATTGGCTAGACTTCTGAATGCAGCAGGACTGCAGGAGCAGCAGATTTAAGTGGCTATAAAGTGGCAGGGTATTCCTATTAAATTGGTCTCGACAACAAATCAATGGATATGTATGAACTATCGCTAGGTGTGTGATAGGGTTCATTGATAACAGAATTTACTTGTCCTTTGATTTATGCAGGCCACATTGACATTCTAGGTTAGCAAACTGGTGAATTGCAAGAGTTTACATTATATGAATGGACAGCTAAAATAATGGTGAATTGGGGTGTTTGCAGTTCAAATAAATCAAAGACAGGCCCATATACACCTTTGCGGTTTCCCTATTATGATAAAAAGTGCTGGGGTAAGGATAACATTTTAGCTAAATTTTACAGGAAATTAACTGTAGTCTTAGAATTGACTGCATTTAATCCAAAAATTATACATTTTTCTTACTTAATGTTGCATGCTCTGATTTGATAAAATCCATTTGTTATTGAATTTCCTAGATGGACTGTTTCGCTGTTGACAGCACCCCAGAGACGAGGAGGATCGTAAAAGAGGCAAATTGCAACTGGTACAGGAAGAATTGAAAGAGAAACAACAGAACAAGAAGAGAATGTCAGCCACCTCAAGTACCCTAAACACATCATGTGCAGATGAGGACACGTCTACAAAAACGAAAAACGCGCTGAATTTCCTTTGGACTGATGCAGTTCAACGACAATATCCCCGAATATCCACTCGACGGAAGAGCGAACTGTGCTCAAGGTGTTAAAATCTTGTTGAGCTGGGGTCAGGACTGCGCCTTCGTAGGGCCTTTGTAGGTGTGCACGTATCGGATGGCGGGGTCACCTTACACACAGAAGGGAGGGCCAGTTACGTGGCAGTTGGAAAACCTCTGCAGTTCCTGCAAGAATCCGGAGGCAGCTAGCATGAAACTGTCATGGCGTCTTCCCTCAATTGGGCCAAGCAGATTCCCCACTAATCAATTAGGCCTGTTGGATGGCACCACCATACTGGCGAAGCTTGGGAGGGGATAGCAAATCATGATTGTACCTTGTAAGCAGATGATGCCACCGACCATAAAACAAGTCCATTATGTGGTTATTTATGATAGAAATCTCAGGAACCAGTCTGGCAAGATGGTAAACCAAATCTCTGTATCGGCAAGGGTAGGCATGGCGCTTAAGATACATGCATAATGCAGGTACGGTAGCTACTGCTAGACCATTGTAAGTGGTTATCTCGTGTATATCGAAATATATGCTCAGTTCCATGAAGAACGAGCGTTAGAGGCTTTTCTTGTGGTGTATTGTCCCGCAAGGAATAGTGCTGGAGGAAAGCTTGACCTGCACGCTGTCATCAATGCTAAAAGCACTAGCGAAGGAAGATTAAGTAACTTAGAAAGCAAAAATCAGCAGGTCGCCCCCATTTTTTATCTAATGTTCGATTCTAGCACTATTTAACCCAAATTCCGTTCATTCTTTCACGAATGCAACGTGATGTACCTAAGCATGCAGGCGGATGAAAATATCTTACCTTAAAACAGAAATTTTAAGATGGAGGATCGAGTCAACTTGTCTTCTTAATCCAATTGCCAAAACTTAATTTTTTTTGCATCTGAAAAACAGAAAAAAAAATGTTAAGAGGGTGTGGGCGCTACGTTTCATGAAATGTCAATAGAATACTAAAGTGTGACGTCACAAAAATGAAATTTCTGAAATTATGGGATTTGTCAGGATATTCTGAAAGAACAACGTCCAAGAGGCCTACTTGCCAAAAATGAGCATTTGGGGGCAAATTGTCTCTGAGATCGTAGCCCAGTTATGCTTACAAAACTCCATACAAACCCTTCTAAATTTTTTTGGGGTCGACCCAAAAAAAATTTAGAAGGGTTTGTATGGAGTTTTCTGATTATAACTGGGCTAAGATCTCAGAGACAATTTGCCCCCAAATGCTCATTTTTGGCAAGTAGGCCTCTTGGACATTGTTCTTTCAGAATATCCTGACAAATCCCATAATTTCAGAAATTTCATTTTATGACGTCATCACTTTAGTACTCTATGTATCGGTAGTATTGTGCAGGGAGTTATCTGAAAAACAAAACAAAACAAAACAAGAGAACAACACAACAACAAAACCAGAACTAATGTACGAGTGTTCCAATGTATAGGAAGAAAAGTAGCTAAATGTAACCCCCCCTAAAGATAAAAAAGTAAAACAAAGCAAAAAGGGTAAATTTACTTCTAACTATAATGCTAGCCCAATCGATTTTGAAACGCAAATTTCTCTCCGTAGATAAGCCCCTCCAAAAATAAGCCCCTCAAAAAGGGTCTTTGAAAAATATAAGCCCCGGTGCTTATTGTCGGAATTTTACGGTATATACCTGTTAAGTTTCTCATTTAGTTTTCATTATTTTTAGTTTCATTTCATTTCCAGTGTTTCATTTACGTCATTGCTTTGTTTCTAATACTCCCCCTGGATAGCTCTTAATTCAGTCGATTGCACGTTTCTCGCATAATACAGTAGAAGAATAAGATTTTGTGTCATTTAGTTTCGTTTCGTTATTTGGACGTTTACTGTGTGGGTCAGATATGTAAGTAACCATTTTCGTTTCCTTTCGTAGATATTTTTGTTGATTTAGTCTTCAGGTTATTGATTTAGTACTTTATTTGTCCCCTCGTGGGCATACATGTGTACATTTCGTAACAACTTCGCATATTTCGTTATTTACTACAGTATGGATATTTCAGTTACCTTTCTACTAATTTTATCTTCA